CGAGCTGGGGGCGTGGTGGCACTGGAAGCTTCCCTATTGGGGAAGAACGACGGGATGAAAGACCTCCAGTTGTGCTGTTTTTTCAGGCCATCTGTACCCAAAATTAATAAGAATTCCATTTGATGCCAAAACACGAATATGTGATGTCACTCTTGGAGTATTCTGTAAATAGATCCTTTATTTGAAATGAAATTATTCTTGAGTGAAGTGGCAGAACCCCTATTTACAGTGGTGGCGACAGAGGAGCTAATCCCTTTGCTTGACCGCTGCGACCGCTGCCGTTCTTATCGCAATCGCAGCATGCGTGACGCCTGCGCCTTCTCGCGTACGACTTCTCTAGCCTTTACCTCTTTTCACAGCTCGCGGTGTGTCTTTCCCTCGTACCTCAGTCGACCTTAGAAGAATTAGTGTTTGCTACTGCAGTTTTTGTTTTTCCCTAACGTTCCCCCTCGCTTTTCTTTCTTAAAGGAATCTTCCACGGAAAAAGCTCCGCCCTCATTACCACAGAAAACGATACCTTAAAGGAATCTTCCACGGAAAGAGTGATCATTTTGTCTTGTGTGTAGGATTAGTATTATCGAAACTAACGCTTATGTTCCGTTCTTTTTGCTATGCTCATGAGGCTAGGGGCCTAAGGGGTATCGTTTTTAGGTAATGGAGGCGGAGCTTTTTCCGCGGAAGATTCCTTTTAATTTTTCGTACAGAAACACCACACCAATGCGTCACTCGCCCCGTGTTTCTAGAGTTCTGCCGTATAACTACAGCTTGTGGTGCAGTGATACGGCGGGTTCCCAACAGTAATGACTTAGCCTGAAGGTTCCACTAAGTGTGGCAGTTTTGCCCTAGAATATATCCAAAGGCGCAATATCTCAGAAGGTGCAAAAAAAATCAATGTGGAAACGAGGCAGTTGGCGGGGTCTTGCGCCTGATATCGACCTGTGACGGTACTGATCTAGCTGATCTATCATAGGACGCTCTGTGAATCACTGAAGCAGCCAAAAGTTCCGTACCAAGAATACACTGTCCAGTCTAAGCCACACTTCCTTTGTCAGCGATCTTCCTTCTAAAGATGATTAATGGGAGCTCTTATCGTTAGTTCATTTAGGCAACTCTGCTGGTCAACAACGTTGATCGAAGTCCAAAGGCGGGAACGGGTGCAACATCCCATATTCAAAAAATTGCAGCGGGAGGGTAGCGCTGTAGGACCTGCCGGTGACCAGTTGGTGCTGTAAGTGCAACGCTCTGCTGCTGGAGCAGTTTATTCTCAAAGATGTTGGATTGTAGGAAAAGTAGAAGCGCACATCAAAGGTCGGTCCTAAGACGGGACCTCACCCCTTTCCAAAAGGAAAAGGGATGTGAAATAGCATCATTGGAGCGTGACGATTCTTCCTTGAGAAGAATAACATACGGGCCTGGGAGCACACGCTACGCACAATTATTAAGTGGGCGTGTCCACAAGCTCTTATTGGCCGAAGCTCGAGTCCGCAAATAGCAAAAAGTACCATTTCCTCGGATTCAATCGATATTCAGCAGTGGTTCTCCACCCACAAGATCGTACCTTACAACACTGACAATATCTATTGATATTTTTATTACTTGAGTCAGCAAGTTGGTCCAGAATCTATGAGTTCCTTTAATTTGTTTTCTTGTTGTTCATTCGCTTTTGCGATGTTTTAGATGAGGGAGTTCGACGGAATGGTAATAATACAATATACTTAATAAATCTGAAAGCCGTTCTAATTATAAGATATACAGTGGTTATTAATAGTATTACTACAGAGATCATGAAAGCGATAACATCGACGAGGAAGTACTGGAACACGTTGAGTTTATCGGCTCCAGAGCGCGCATGTGGTACCTGGAATTACAGATTATTGATTTTTTTTGCAGAAACTTGTTGTCAAGGAAAATCCGGAATCCAAAAATCCAAGGAAAATCTTAAGCTATGCAAACAGCGCGGCAGTCATTTCTAACCTGAAAACCCTTTGATGGAATTCTCAGCTGAAGTCAGGCGCAGCTGGGTTTGAAGGCGCACTTCACTGTTAAACTTGATGGATTGGCCCCTTTTGTGAACAGGACGGGGCTATCCGGAGAGGTGGGCATGTGCTGTTTCGTGGGCTCGAAAATGCGCCACCAGAATGCGACAAGACCGCCGAATTATGTCATCGCTATTGAAGCATACAGTGCGTTTCATTGGTATACGTCCACCCCTGATTTTACCAAAAAAGCCGTCCTTATAATACCGCGAGGTGTCTGCGTCTTCCCATGTTTAACTCACGCCTCTCTATTTTTTCTCTCATCCTGACGCAAGGGTTCCTCTTTGCCGTAGCGCTGCCGCAGACTCACACGAAGGCCCTTCCAGTTTAGCTGCTCCTTTCCCTGTTTTCTTCACTAACCACCATTTCTTACTCACTACTTCACATGACTGTGTTAATTTGCGAGTTGAATGAGCCCCCACATCTCTGGTCGAGTCGTGACTCAAAAAACATCAGTCCTCCATACTGAACGTCCAGCATGAATACCTGCTTTTAGCCGCCATCCTTCTCCTCGAGCTTGGCAAAAGTTTCTTCCTTGTCGGCTAAAGTGTTATCTAAGCATCCTCCTTTCGAGAAACGAGAAGAGGCGTGGGTCAGACCAATACACCATAAGTGACGAGGCCATAAAATCTCATGTCATGTTGCTACAACGAAATGATTGCCCTTCTGCAGTTGTATTGTATCAGCTGTCCAATTACAATACTGGCATTTACCAAAAATCAGCTATCACTATGACCAACTACTAACCAATTTACTTGAAGGCCGTCGTCAGTTGTGGTGTATGGTCTGCACCGACGCTCTTCTCGCTTTCGAGAGGGAGGGTATAAGCGTTAACCGTCTGTATTCTTGTCGGCGAGAGTTCCATAGTACAAGGAAGCCCGGATCGCAACGCATTGCCTGAAAATGCATAACCTTTGATGCCCGCTCAACTGAATTCCAACCCAAAACGCTGCATGTGTGAGTTGTTACGGCCATCGCGGACCATGTTTGGAACACCAAACATCGCTCCTCCTATAAACTGAAAAAAATACCATTTGTAAATTACCAGTGCTAGTACCATGTGCTAACTAAAAAATCGCCAGGGCTCCATAGATCTTGACGCTTTGTATGCAAAGAAAAAAGGCACTTAGTGCCGACAGAGGCCCTCGCGTTGCAAGAAGGCAGAGAAGACACTTGGTAGCGCACGGTCCGATCGCGTACTGAATGATTCCATCAGTGATTATAGAAGAAAGTACCCATGTATCCACCCACACCACACTCGCACGGCACCTGCGACCTCCGCCCGCTGACGCGTCTGCTCTCGGCCTTCGCGCGACGGAGGCTCTCGCCGGCTACATATTGTCCAGTTTCTCATTCATGTCAAATGAGCAACCAACATTTGACAAGTACCGCACATCTCCCAGACAGCTCTTTACGCGTTAGTCCACTAAACAATGTATATCTCTTGAACTCAACGCCTTCTTGCGAATTTCCTTCACAAGCCGCTATCAGCTGCTCAAGCATGCTTCTTCGGCATTAAGTAGGCCCGCAGCTCCACGAGCGCTAATTCGAAGCAAGTTGTCGTGACCTGAAAAATGACCAACTTCACACCACCAATGCTTTCTTAAATCTACTAACGAATCGATGAATTTACTGCTGAACAAGTAACACAGAATTTTTTATTCAGCCACTTGTTTACAATGTTGCCAAACAGCTCAAGTATATAAAAATAGTGGAGCTAAAAAGCTACTTCATGCATTTTTCCAATCAATCTTCCTTGCTTCACTTTGTGCTTCTTATTCTCGAAAAAATTGTAGTAATCAAAGCAGGCGTTCAGCCGTCAACTTGCGGCAATGCTCAAATATTCGCTCGCACACAACGGTTCTTTCAAAACTCGGTGTCAAATCTGCATCTTCGTGCCCCATTCAGAATTCTTAATTACGTAATATAAAATTGTGATAGCAATCTTGAGCCTTGACTGAAAATGTCTCTTCCAAAGCTGGCTCTAGTCGGATTTTTCAATGGTACTTGCTCCAAAATATTCTCACACACCCATAGTCGTTGCTATATAATAATTGTAACATTCATTTCTATTACTGTAAATGATTTTGTTTTTCGCACGACTGTTTTGTACAGCATGCTTCAGTAAACAAATAAATAAACAAGCAAATAAATATGTGGAAAAATAAGACGAACCGGCTACTGTAAGCGGAACACCAATGGTTGGAACACCATGCCATACCGATTCGATGACGCTGTTCATGCCACCATGCGATATGTGAACACGACATTTCGGATGACCTTAAACGGATTACTGTAGAGAGTTTAGGGATCAAATCCTAAAGGGCACATTATTTTTGCCACAACTATCCTATTTTGCTCAAATCCAAAGCTGAGCGCTTCCGAGCAAACGCTTAGCCCTTGCAGACATGGAGCAGCAACCCACTACATGGAAAGGGACAGTTATGCACGATTTTTTCGTTTGAAATTTCTCAAAGTGGGAGGTCATCGGTAAGTTTTTTTTGGCACAGAATATCAGCCTGCTAAAATAGTGATAAAATTATTGAAAGATTATTGATAACTGATAAAACAGACGGCAAAAACTTATCACACACAACGGCGGTAAAGGAATACCGATGATAGGAATCACTGCGCTGAAAAATGAACGTAGTTGAGCGAAGTTGCGCCAGTAAGAAAACAAAGCAAAAAAGCTACTAATAATTTTTAGAATCATAAAGCGCGCTGACGTATGGGCGGGATTTGCGCCTCGCCAATAATAGGGTCTCATTGGTTCACCGTTCCTCTGATATGGTAAAACCACAGAAAAATACGATAGAAAGACAAGGAGAACCAGGGGGCGGAGCTCAAACGACCCGAACGCAGTGGGATCTTGAGTGTGTTTAGTAGAATTTAGGGCCACTACGGTAGTGCCATTTTGGGGCGCAATTAATCACATCTATGCACTGGTAAAATGTATATTTAACACCTTGGAGCCCATGCAGCCCATATGTGGGCTGCAGTCCGTCGACCGCGTAGGACCTTTCAGCCCACATTTTGGAAACAAATATTGGTTTTTCTTTTTTTCCTTTCCATTTCATTCGATAAGGTTTCTTCTGCATCATACAGTAGGTTTTTCTTTTGAATTTGCTTGATAAGATTCCTAAAAATTTCACTGAAGTCCCACGCGGCCGCAAAACGTAAAACATGCGCGGTCTCCAACGTGTTAAAGACAAAAAGACCACAGCGAATAAGTGCGCTCTCACCAAGAAGGTCCTGCTGTGGCAGCCATGGTTGTGTGAATACGTTCTTTGGTAGGCCATCAATCGACGGTCCATCGTACTGCCAGACAAACCTCACTTTAGGCATCGCTCGGAACGTGTTCACGTAAACGTCCTAAAGCATTGAATGTGTTAACTTGGACAGGAAGAACTCGAAGATATCGCTATTTTACTATGTTTCAGATTTGTAACTACCTTCGGAGTTAGTTGTGAGTTCTAAGGAGCAAAATTCTAATAACCCCAAGCTGATAAATGCAGATGCGTAGTGGTCAGGTTGTGCCAAGTGGTGCTGCTCACCGCATACACGGTTTAGGGGGATGAACGACTGTTCGAAGCTGTCCGCACAATCTAGAGCTCTACCCCGGGCAAGGTTAAATAACGGGTGCGCTGGAAGACCCAACCCAGCGGTTCCCTGTATAGAAAAGATCGCATTTCAATACCAGTACGAATTTAAATGGAAGTAAATGCTTGGGCATCCGAAAGAAATGAGACGGCATGAATACAAGTAATTTATCCTTTCCGACTGGTATTGTTATTAAAGAATGAGGTTTTGCTTTGTACAGCGCGCTCTTTTAGGCGTTCATGATCGGAGAAGGACTCTTTATAAGGAGGACTGGAAGTTTGTTCAATCGCAGCATCAATGTAACTTATGATGTTGCACGGTGTTCCTAGATGCGCCATGCACTTGACTTCGTCCGTGTTTAGATCAGCGCTTCATTGCGAACAATCCAGTTAATTGGAAAAGCCTGCTCATTGCTTTTTCATCCTTCGAGCAGCGTTTTACAGACCTCAACAAAGCCGGAATTTGGTTGAGTCCGGCAGAAGATCGCTGCATTTAGCAAGTGCCAGATCAAAGCTGAGTTTAACTAAGTGAGTGCCGTTTCCAGGTGGGCAATGCTCATGGCTTCATTCCCCTGAGGATTGCTAGAGTTCAATGTAGACCAATGGACAAACAAGTGGAAGTGGGAAGTGGCGCCGCTACCACACGGATCATTTGAGAGCCCAACTCGAGATCCATTCCCATACCTAACAACCAAACCTTTTCTCCGTGTCTAGCCGGTCAATTGGCACCAGACTCATTTCAGCGCGAAAAAATCCCACTTGAACATATGCAGGGCTTCGCACGTCATTGCTGTGGGGCAGAATGTCATCTCAAGATGTCAAGAACAGTTTCTGTACGGTAAAATTCACGGCGCATGCCCACAAAAAGGGTCAATCAATTGTTCCAATAACTTTTCGCTCTTTTCCACTTCATTTTGAAAATGGCTTGATCCAGCTGTAACATTTGGTAATCTTTCTCCAGCAAGAATCCACGATGATTTACGTATACTCACTATAACACAATACTATTTATTTGTTTATTCTTTTATTTATTTATTTATTTATTTATCTATTTATTTATAAACTCAAGAATCTACCTCACCTACTTCGTGAATTCCGTCCAATTTCATGAAGATTTACATAACCAGTAGAAAATCTTAAGTGGTCGATCCGAGAGCGGCCTCTCAATGGGAACTGCTCGCGCGGTATCACAAAAGCTGATCATGCAGGCTCCACCCATTTCCCATTCGCGAGTTCGACAACCCTCAGCATGGCCGGACGCGGTAAAGGAGGCAAAGGACGTGGCAAAGGAGGCTCGACTATTCGCCTCCGCAAGGTGTATCGCGACAACGTCCTGTCACAGAAGGCGTCCCATTCGTCGTCCTGCTCGACGTGCCGGTGTACAACGACTTTCTGAACTGATCTATGACGAGATTCGAGATATTCTACGACGATTCGTTGAGGATGTCGTCAGAGCTGCTGTTCTCTACTGCGAGCACGGCAGACGTACTACCGTCACGGCTATGGATGTCGTCTATGCCCTCAAGCGACAAGGGCGTACTATCTATGGTTTTGGAGGATGAATCAGGCCGACCACGAGACGAAGACATCTTCGATCAGTTCAGTTTATTGTTGCATTCAATCTTCAGCTGCTCATATTTTCGTTAATAAACCTGTTTGTCAAATTGTTTGGTAAAAAGATAAAGGATAAAGCATTTGCCGTTGATCAATCCCTTTTTGGGATGCGGCACGCATTCTACTTCCATTTGTACATTCGTAGTGGCGTTTGAATGCGATGTGGCCTATACAATGACTTGCGGGGGCCAGCCGATGTTCAAGTCAGTGTTTTTATCCTCCCAGACAAGTCTGGTACCAATTAACCGACCCCGGAGGGATGGAAGGCTTGGTTGGCCCGGGCGACTCACGACCCAGGATTTGATCCCGGACCGCTCGCGTGGTAAGCGCGCCACTTGTCACTACACCACTTCCGCCCCCTTTTTGGTATAACTGTCTCAAATATGATTAACCGATCTAAACAAGCCTTCAATAATCCAAGATGTACCTAGTTCCTAATACTTTCAATATTTCTCCTTGCAATAGCGTACATTATCCTCAACGGCGTTGAAATTTGGAACTTCTGATCATCGCTGGTGGGATGCGCCACGCACTTTGTTTCTACACCCAGTTCCAGAGCCCATCAAATCAGCATAAACTGGTTTAGGTTGTTTTGTGAATGTTTTCGTATCGAAGCACTGCCAGCGGCAAGGTACCCCTTTTTTTGAAAAAACCAAAGTTTGGAATTATTGCTTCTACCTTTTCATATTCAATAGAGATCATTCACGGATTTTTGCTTTTGACTTCCGCTTTCCAGACATTGAGAATTTTGGCTTTCCAAATATCTGTTATTCATCAAGGCGGCGGATCGAAATTGCGTCGTTCGAGAATAATCCATTAGTTTTATAAGAATGCCGTGGTTATGAGCAAACTTTCGCCCAGCGCAGCCTACAGGATTGCCAGACGAGAGCGCTAAAAGTTACCACCGGACACCGGTTTCACGCTTAACTTAGCTTTCATGATACATTTTTCACGACTAACTTCGTTGTGTGGACTGGGTAATCGTGGTCTTCTGGACTGCAAGTACGTTCAGGTGCCCAAGAACTTGATCAGTTTTTCTGAGAAATGGAGGCTCGATTAACAAATGAGTTTGTGCCGTGGGAGTAACGAAAGCAATGTTGTGCCGTGGGAGTAACTAAACAATCTTCTCTCTTACAGTAGATCGCTATTAACAGTCTGTTTGGAGAAAATCGGAATTTAAGGGTTGAATGCGCTGGACAAGGGTAGAACCATCGAGCATGTGTAGAGCCTGCTGCTACTGCGCCAGGTTCACTTAAGGGCTCTAAACTGAAAAGCTATCGAGCAGGTCAATGATTGTTTTTCTTCCCGTGCGCTATCGCGGTCCATTACTGATGAAGTTGACTGAGAATCTTCTCACTTTCAAGTCAATCGATACCACTCCGTCGACGAGTTCTTGCCCTTTTCATGAATGTTTCCACATTTTTTCGGGCGCTTCACGGCTTTTTCTTCGCTACTGATGGAACATCTGATTCGAGCACGAGGCAGTCACTTAGATGACTCAGCATTTTTTCTCATGGCTGACCGAACCGATGCAGAGACAAAGCGGTTGGCTGCACTCGTGTGTTTACAGGCGCCAGAACAGACATGTCGATTCTGATAGAACAATGGCAAGTGTCGCTTTGTCGGTTGGGGAAATCTTGCAGAAGAAAAAAATTGAAGCGTCCTCGCCTAGTGGAGCTCGATGTCAGAGTAAGGCTCTCACTGAGTCCACCACGAGATTACTGGAGAATTTTTCTCCACTATTCTTCACAATCAAGACGGGTTCGAAGTTTAGGTCACCTTCACTCAATCGAAGAGGATGACCCAATATGGATCCTAAATCGGTACCTACCCAGTGACGGTGATACGGCCGCCTTTGAGCTTCTACCGGTGGATCGGTATCGTATCAAAAGTTGGTGATCACGGCGCTATGAAATCGTGATACAAAATGACCCATGTTGCCTCCAGTCACTATCCTAGTGCTAGTTCAAGGGCCAGAAAACTTTTATTATTTAGCGGAACGGATTTTCGTTTCCCAGTTTTACGCTTGCAACAGTCACATGGCATTCACTGGCCATCATAGAAAGAAGCCAATAAAGTCATCAACTAGTCAGCAACTTTTGGTTTGGCGGACGGAAGGTTAGCTGCGCAACGCTCTCAATTATCCACAGCGATCGAGAACGTTGCATCAAAAACCCGCCAACAAACCTCATCCCTCCGGATACCGATCAGTTTGTTACCAAATTCATTTGGAGGATCAAACTGATGACTTGAACTTCGGTACCTTCTCCACACTCCCCTCCTTAACCCTTTCGGGCCCTGGCGGTGGCAATTGCCACCATCAAAGTCAAATGTTTGCATTGCCGCTGAAACAGCATGGTTTTTCTAATCCTGCTAGAGGTTGCTTCAGTCAACCTTCCCCTTCCTAATTATGAGCTAAACCTGCCATTTCATTGTGTGTTGCTGTTAGTATTACAAGTATTTGTGTACAAGTGCAACAATGAATGGGCGCTGGTCCTCGCCCGATTCATGGCCAGAAAGGTAAAGTCGTTTAAGCCTAACTGCATTCTAGTTTCGCTATGAACCGGACCGGGAATCGAATGCGTGGCTTGCCCCAAAGATGAATTACTCAAGAGCTTCTCTCCTATTTTCCCTTCTAGGTTGGATACCAAAATCTGAAAAGGAGGGACCGGGACGTTTTCGCCACCTTAAGCTGCCAATTTGGAGGTGAAATCAACTTTACCCCTTTTTTGGCCTTCAAGCAGTTCGCCACTCAACTTGTACCTCCTGGGTGACAAATTTTTTCTCCAAAAAACCTCGGAAAAATCTTTATAAACTTGCCAAGATGTGTTCGGTGCTTTACTCCACTGAGCTGTGAATCCACTCGTGATCAGAACGAATCCCTCTTCATCTGTTGCTGCCTCGACAAAATTATGTAGAGCCTGAAAAAATGAAGTTCGTTCCAATTTTCTTGGGCGATAAGCGATCCTAAATATTGAAACAAAACCAAAATCAGGACCCCGCTGAGCATAAACTCAATAGAGGATCAGTGCTAATGTTAGCTTGGGGAACTGCAGCTTATGTGCAGCATTATCGGAACCGTCTGCATGCTTATTTTGGCTTTTGAGATTCATAAGAGACTACAAACTTATTTCTAAGCATGACAATCCATCCGTAAAATTGGCACAAACTTTTCGCCAATGTTTTGGAGAGAAAAATCCTGTGGATCTTTTTTTGGATGCAGAACTTAAAGGCAGTGACCACGATGCTGGAGTTGTTGCGGTTTTGATGATGTCCATGAACGTCATTTTCGAAAGGACATCAAGAAGCAGTCCCAAACCCCAGCACGCTAAGGGTTCTAGTCGCTGAGGGGTTCCATGACGTCACCAAATCCACACCGCCCTCCATCCACCGTTATATCTGCCATTGGAGCGTACTATACGTTCTTCAGAGGTCAGTGTCCTACCCTGTATGTGAAAATATCAGCTTGAACTAAGAATGTTAAGCAGGTGATGGACTGACATGTATGGTTGCTAACCTTCAAAATAATAGTAGGGACAGAAAAAAATAAAAATAGGAAAAATTTGAGAGGGTAGAATATGAAACAAATATAAAAAATATGCTAATCCCTACCCCCTTGAGAGCGGTCGCATTCCGACAATGCAATCCACCGACGAAATTCACTCGTGGCATGTACGGTCTGGCAAAATCGAATATCGGAGGATTGTTCACGAAATTGATCGAGGCGTTTCGTTCGATATCAAATGCTGCAGCTACGCCTGGATAGTGTTTCTGAAATAACCATTTCGTCTGGTCGACATCAAGTAATCAAGTAAAGGATCAAATGTATCTAATAGATTCTATAAAAGGTCCAGCTGCTGTTTTTTAATGATATTTTGAGTTAGGATTTACTCAGAAAAACAGCGGATGGCGA